ATAATACGAAAATTATCTAGCTTGTTCGTCAATTAATAATGTTTGTACAAGTTGATAATATTTTCCTTTTTAATTCATACCATAATCATGTTTATCCATTTTAACAATATGACCCCTATCATAAACAAAAGATTATTGACATGATCAATCTTACATAATCGATAAAATATGTTTCAAAAATCAAGTATAGATTTGTTTTTACTAAATGATGATTTTTTAATCAATTTTTGTCATGAATATTCATGTTTATTATCAAGGACTGCTATTATTTCATTGAGAAGTGAAAAGGTGACGATTTTTTAACAAAGCAGCAGCTAGTACACTCTTTTGACATTGACTAACACTTGAATTTGATCCACCTTGAATTATTTGTTTTTCATAATGATTCTATTCGTACAAATACAATCTATATTATCCAGACTTATTTCAACGAAAATCCCAAAAGGACATCTTGAATAATAGTTTCAGATAATTAGAAATAAAGATATTTTCTTAGAAGTTTCGCGTTTTATTCATTCAATTGATAGACATTATAGTTTGATAGAAGATTTACAATCATAGAAAAAGAAACTTACTATAAATACTGGGATATTATAAATCAGAGACTAAGTTGGTTTGATTCGGCATAAACATGATTTTTGAAACGGATTCAAAGATACTGTAAAGATTTTGACACTAGAAAATAGTGAAATAGAGATGAGTCGAGCGAAAACAATAGAAATTCATCCTAATCGATTGACATCTTCATTTAGGCTGAGCTCAAACGATTAAATCTAAGCGTTAGGAGAAGATAAAAGGATAGGCAATCAAATAATCAAAACGGTGCTTTGTTTAAATTCATTGCTCACGTCAAGTAAATTGAAGTTTTTCCGAAATTTGGAGACGTTATCTATGCCATCGAAATCGACGACTAGTTGTCGCTTTTTTTCCAATGACGTGAACAATATTGTTGCTAAATCACAGTTTTCTCATCGTTATTGACGATTTTTTTCTACTGAAAAACACTATTTGTAGTCACTTATTCTACGTAGTACAAAAGTAATGAAATTATAAATGAGCCAGCACATCGTGTAATAGAGAAAAAACATATTAGACCTATGAATGAAAATTACAATTCACATACTAGGTTGAGTTATTTGAAATTTGGATTGACTTTCGCAGTTTTTGTTTCTGTGTAACTGTCCCATCAAAATCATCACATTAATCTAGAACAACGTTCCATTAAACAACGATAAGAGATGGATACCATTATTGCTAACGGTATCGAAATTATTATTTAAAAAGTATAAGTATAAATCTACTCTTGATGTCCACACTCCAACCATAACCACACCCGCATGCCGAATAATGATAATAAAAGAGATTTTTCCTTCTATGAACGCTTAAATATGAAATCATGATGAATTCGTTCAAGTTGATCATAACTTTAACTATTAGGCTCATCATTTTGATTAATGTTCACCGATTGTTCACGTACTTTTGTGAAAGTTCTTCGAAGAAAAAAAAGCATACAGAGTTTAACAAATATAATAAAAAGTAAAAACTAGTTAGAGTATTTTCAGTTGTTTGTTAATTAAAGTTAATCATTTTTATTTTACAAAGAGAACACAATTTACAGCAAAAGACATACCAAGTAATACTAAAGAAAACTTTGTAGCTAGCTGATCATTGTCTCAATATTGTCAAAATAGGAATAATGTGCAAATTATCCAATGTGTTGTTTCTTCATTCATTCTTTAAAAGAGAAATTTTTTCTTAATTCACTTATGCAAAATCAAATCAGTTCAGAAAACAAAAATTAAAAAAAAATGTCTCTTTCCATAATCATTATTAATACAATCATTTAATTGTTTACAAAATTAATCTTGGATCACCACAAACTTTACTCATTGGATGATTCAAATAAGTCAAAGTCATCATATCTTGTGTATCAAGTTCAAAATCGAATATCGAGAGATTTTCCATCATATGTGTTAAATTTCTAGTACGAGGATTTATAACAATACCTTGTTCCAAATGCCATCGATATAAAATTTGTGCAGGCGTCTTAGCATGCTTTTGTGCAATTTTAGTTACATTTGGATGATTACGCATATCGGGAATCGGATTCCATGAAGGACCAAGCCAAGCTGCGTGATCAGGTGTGCCACCTGGAGAATAACTGTTAAAGGTTATATTATGATTCTTACAAAAATCAAGAAGTTCATCTTCATGCCAATATAGATGAAATTCAACCTGTTTAAAAATAATGAGAATGAGGAAAATATTTTAATCGCATGAATATACTTGATTGACACTTGGAATAGAAGAATTTAAATTAAAAATTTCTAATAAATGATTTACTTCATAATTACTCACACCTATTGCACGAACCTAAACGACAGACAAAAAGAAAGGAATATATTATCACCGGTGAGAAATTAATATTTAAGATGAATAATTAATCGAATTTTCTATACTTCTTACTTGTTGCTGATCAAATAATTTTTCTAATGCTTTCCATGTGTGAATACGACAGTCAATCCAAGTTGGTTTTCCTTGTTTACACGGAGGAATCGGTTTACTACTTGCCTCTCCTGGTTCACTGCCCGGCCAATGAATAAGAAGAAGATCAATATAATCGGTCTTTAACGATTTTAGAATTCCAGCAAATTCTTCGAGAGCTTGATCATAGCCTGATGGATCTACTTTGGATGTGATAAATATTTGTGAACGAGCTATACCACTAGCCACCCATCCTGTACCGACTCCATCGATTGACTCATAGTCATCAGCTGTGTCAATACGTCGGCCGCCTAATTGTAACCATGCAAGTGTAGCATTATGACCTTGTTCAGGACCCCAATATTCCCCACCTGTACCATTAGGTTGACCGTATCCTCCTGTACCAAGTCCTACGACAGGCATAAGAACTTCACCATGAGCAGCATTCATCAATCGAACAGAAGGTTGTTCATTTATAGATCGAACTGCCGATACAGAGTAGATTAGTGAAATGACAAGTATGAGCAATAAAATCCGTTTAGAAAACATGAACGACTATTATCGTTGTTCTATATTCAAAGATTACTGAATAAATAATCTATATCAAAGTAAACTCAGCGAAAAAACAAATACAGAGACTAAAAAAATAACAGACTGAGAGAAATGATTATAAACAAAAGAATAATATATATGTAAAGAGAAAAGAAGGAAAACGTCAGCGATGATAAAGAGACAATACACACACATATACTTCAACAAATACAACTACCAACATACTTAGAGATTCATCAAAACGTGCGTTTTTAAACTTATCTTGCAAAAAAAGAATCCTCTTTCTTTCACATACTCTTATTATTATCAAAGTGTATCTGTTCCGAAGAAGACAATAATTAATATACTGTCGATAGTCTTTACTTAATGATACGTACAAAAAATTCCAAAATATAAAATATACTTTGGAATTTGGTAACATTTCAACTTTTAATAATGAAAAGTCTTGTCAAAACGAGAGTAAACAATCAAAAAAACATTAAATATCCCCGTATCATCTATATATCTAGTTCTATTGGTATATCAGGATAACCATGAGATATTTTCTAGAATGAAACATTTTTTCTTTACCAAAAAATAGTGCTATCTTTACTTAACAAATATATTCTGCTTCATTTTTTAGCCTCAAAGATTAGCACGCAATAAAATTAAGTGAAGGCTTTAAAATTGTTTTCTTTTTCAATTTTTTTGATTAGACCTTCGTTTTTTGTTTTGTCTATCAATATCGATTGTGTTATTTCGTGTTCCCATGTCATAGCTTCAACATAATTTATTCTATAAATTGTCATCTTACGAACATGAATCAGGGTATGCGTATCGATGAGGACAATGTCGACACCCACAACTTTCATGCTCCTTTTTCTTGCTTAACAGTCACCAATGTTTGATTTTCAATGAAATTCAAATGAATAAAATGAAGTAGTTCTCTCTCTCTTCGAATCAAGTGATAGAAATGTAACTGAGAAATCATAGAGATTTTATACCAGGTTGAGTTTATTGAAGAACATTATTATGCAGCAGATAAGATGCCTGTATATGTTGTCGATCAATTCAAGACGACGAATAAAGATTGCAGACATCAGCTACTTTTAATTCTCGAATACAAATCGTCTAGTCATCAATGGAATCATTGAATGTATTTAATATGATTATGAATCCACGCAGGCATTCGTCACTAAATCCACTGAGACAGTTGAAGGCACTGACTTTACAAATGTATTGTTCACATTTATTTTCAGGTCGTTCGATTGACTTCAAGTTTGAACGATGTGAATCCACGTGCAGATGTTCGGTAATATAAATTCAATTGTTTTGGCTGCTGTCAAATTACTCGTCAAAACCTGAGTAACAAGTGTTTCATTCAAGGCAACGTCCAACACAGAATAATAATGAATTTGAGCATCGGCGAGTTCTTGGGGTAGTGTGGGTGTGGGTCTTACAATAAAAAGAGCCACACCCACATCCATCCACACCCACACCCCTAAGAAAATAACAGGAAAGACACAAGTAATACGAAAACAAACCACGAGTAGAATAACGAAACACTAAAATTAGTAGAGCTCATCGGATCCCAGGCCGAGTAGAATCTGAGAGGCTCTATAATTCTATGGCTGATAGTTTCATTGATTCTTTCTAATTAGAAATTTGACGGTGTGATGGGCATCTTTTTTTTCAAAAACTATAAATCAAGGTTCGAAATGTGCAAAAACACTACCATTTGAAAAAACTGACGATGCTTCTAAATGACATAATAGACTCTAGTTACACTTTTTTAGCACTAAATTTCGTATGTGGTACGATACGTTTAACCTTCAAGTTTTCAGCATCGGGAAGAATCGAATGTTCTTATTTTTCTCTGTGGAATCCATTCACAAATGCACTTACTCCAATCATACGAACTGATAATGAACATAAAGAATAGTATCGGTTTATTTTCATTCAGTATAGATTAACAAAAAAATCCATGACAAGTTTGGTTTCGAATATTTTATGAATTTTAAAAAAACGGAGTATGACTCCATTCGCTGAATCCATAACCAGTTAGATTTTGTTCAAGAGGCAACCAATCTTGCCCTCGTTTTTGAAAGAAAGAAACTTGATAGTACGAAATTTGTTCAATAACTGTGAGTCCTAAGCCACGATCACCCGGATTTTCGTTGCCTACTCTTGCTTTATATTCAATCTCGATTTTGTAATCGTTGTTGGATGATTCTACTTTCGTATGAATACAATACTTTTCCCATGAATAATTGTCCATTCTAATGTTTTTAAATGAAACTGATTTCCACATAAAGTTCCAATTTTGATTTTTTGACCTCGATATCGAATGAATACATAACCGATATAATCATCTTCGGTCAATGGGATATGGTAACTACCCAAAATAAATGAAAACTCTTTGTCAACACGATGAAATTGTGACCAAATCCAATTGAAAAGATCAGTTGGCCACGCACCATAGTTATGATCGTGATAGCCGGTGGTATTGATTGTAAATGTGTGATTATTGTATTGAATAATTCCAGATACACGTGCACTAGGCATATATGAAATCCAATCCAAATCTAATAGTTCTGGCACATCTATTTTTTGTCTACACCCATAAGAACATTGTTTATATGTTAATGACCAATAAATCTGTCCATTGCGCGAACGACCAGCAACTTGATATGTAGTTTGATCTAAAACTTTGATGAAATTCTGGTGACCAATTGTCACAGTTGCGTTTTCCTTGTAAGCAGAAAATTCTTCATAGTTATATATGTCCGAAACATCAATCGAGTTTTGCCCAGTATTGTTTGTTACCGAAGTCCACAACATTCCACCAACTGTAGCTCCCTGTTGACCAAAAGTTTTCGCTGGATCTGCGATGCCATAGCCTATACAAAATCCGATATCGATTTGTTGATCATACAACGTAAAGAACCACCATTCTCGATACAGAGCTGATATCAATGGATCTTTATCACGAACATATTGAAACCCATCACTTTGCAATATCAATGTCTCCTTGTCTGAACAACCATCGCTTTGGCAAACGAGTTGTGCTACTAACAATATTAGTACAAAAATAGTTTTTTGCTCAAAAATCATCTTTCTAAGATCTTTACAAAAAACAATATGAAATGATATTTGTATTGAAGCGAGAAAAAAAAATATTAGATCGAAGTGCTTCTGTTATTTACCGTTGTGTTTATCTAACAGGTATAGGTCTTTTTGACGTCATTGCTCTTATCAATGGTAATAAATGATGAAAGTAGGTATATGAAAGGTAATAAAAGACATTGAGACAAAGTGGAAGAGTGAATGAGGAAGGTGAATTGAACAGAGACTAAAGCCGCGATCTGCAAAAACCTAATAAATGATCTAACTTCCGTAGTTTCCTCGAAACACGGCTATCAACGGTTTTTGAAAAAAAATCTTTTCGTGTTCCTACGGATAACTGCTCTCTCCATAGGCTCTGACATCTATTCTAATTGTTGACTGGCTCAAATAATTCGACTAGATCTGTTGTGGTGGAACACCGCATTATCCGATGTTTTCCAAGAGGAAGAATCAAGCGGTTCTGACAATATTCGATAACTGGATTCGACACTAACCAAACGGATTTTTTCCAGTAGAATCCACAGGCTGATTGTACCACCTGTTATCTGTTTATTTTTTTATTAAACAAAAGATAGTTAACATCATTTGTCGTAATGATACGCGCAACTACTTCTATCGAGTTCTTAAGTACGAAAGAGGTAGGGCTTTGCTCCTTGTTCTCTTGATAACAAAAAATCTCAGTTTATACAAGCAAAAGTGCACATTAATATTTACTATCTTCCTGTTGATAACACATAATTTATTCTTTTTTCATGCTGATGTGAAAGGACAGGAGAAAAGGTCTCTCTTTATCTTTAGCAAAAAGAAACTCTGTAGAGAAAGAGAATATCCTTTTTAACTCTAAAAACATGTAGTTAGTAACAGAGATGCAAGTAAGCCATATTTTTTAATAGTTTGATCTTTGAGTCAAAATTGTGTGTTGACTGAACTCTCCCCAGAAGAGTAAAATGCACATAAAAAGAAATAAACGAACAGACCCCATTTGAATTATGCCAGACAATTAAAATACTAGCGATATCTTTCAATGTGGTGTGGGTGTGGGGTGTGGGTGGGTGTGTGGGTGTGGGTATGGGTGTGGGTGGGTGTGGGTATGGGTGTGGGTGCGTGTGGGTATGGGTGTGGGTGGGTGTGGGCTTCAGTGTTATTCTTTTTTTCACAAGCACACACCAACACTCACACCCACCCACACAACCCACACCCACACCACCCACACCCACACCCGCCCCCACCCACACCCACACCACCCACACCCACACACACCCAATGATAATCTGTCGCAAATCAAAGAATTACTAGAGAAATTAGGCAATATATCAGTACAGTCTTTTTTCATCAATCGAAGTCACATTCAACCGTTGCTAAAACTCTCTGATGCATGTGATGATGACAAGTATATTAGATTGGATGGCACTCATGTTTATGGTTATCGTTTTTATTTAACAGAACCAATGAAATTTCAAACTGTACGTATAAAGTCGAAACTTGTTGATAATGATCTCATTGTTTACATTTTAAATTCGAATGATATTTTAATTCAAACAGAAACACTTCATGTAAACAATCGAAATTCCGAAATATTCAAATGGTTTGCTATCCCAATTACTTGTGAGATTGAAAATAATTATTCTATTTTGATTTGGGCAAATTCTAATCGACAAGAAACACCATCGATCGCCTGTAACTTTGACGATTATAATATACGTCGAATTAATCAGAATGTATCTGTTCGTAATGAACATGCTCTCGTTGATACAGTGCTGAATGTTGAAATCGGTATGAAGCTCAATGTTATGTATGATGCACCTTCAAACAATGATTCTGATCTTGCTGAAGCAATACCATGTATTAACATGATTTTAGATGTATAGGCGACGTTTCTTTCAAGAAGAGTTTAGGCTCTGAACATAATTTGATAACAGTGTTTCTATTTTTCATCGATGCAATTTTGTTACACTCGTTCCTTTAAGAATATGTTGAACATGCAGAAAAACAAGCGTTTGTTTCTCTTTCTAAAAAGATCATTTATAACTATAATAGATTGTTCTTGTTCATGCTGTGTTTATCCTAATGAACGTCAACATAGTTTGTCGCATGAATCTCGCTGACGTCTCGACTGGTTGACGAAATGTAGACCGAACTGTAAAACAATGAATTGATTCAGCCAATACAACATTGAAAAATTAGGGAAATGTGACAGCTCCTCTACAACAAGTAATGGAAGTGATGATAAGCACCTATCTATCTAGCATTATTGAACTGGATCAGACAAATAGTCTGGTGAACATCATGATGGAGAAGCAAACACTTAAAAGAGAGGATCCATGAGGACCTCAAGAATAGTCAAAACATGATTTTATTAAACATGCCTTCTTTTTATTTCATTCGATTCTACATGGAAAACTGGACTGACGAAATTCTTTTTTAGTCCTTCAAATCCTATACTTACGGAATTATAGGCATTTCAAAGTAAGCACCGTTCAAAACTGCGAAAAAAACAATGCTTAGTAATTATGACTTCGTGAGATCAGATTATGTGGAACAGTGCTGAGCAACAGTACATTTGAAAGAGCGTCAACAACTGCATCGAATAGGTGTGAGTTTGAGTTTCCTGACGTATTTACCTACGCCTACATTCACCCCCAAAAAACTCATAGAACAAAATACTCTGTCTGATCTCTTTCTCAAATTGCCCAAAAAGACCAAAAAAAGAAATTTCCATATGAGTAATATTCATATTTCACTACATTATCAATAAAATAAAACGAAACTCACTATAAACTAGTTCCTACTGTGGCGCTTTCAAAATGTATGATTCATCTTCATGTGCCTCTTCAAACAAGTAATTGCAAAATCATGAGAAACTTGTAACACAAAGTTAAAAATCAACTCATTTCTACAAAAAATCCTACGAAAAGTACTATATATTGAGCACACATTTGAACCAATCAAACAAAAATAATTTCATCAATGTCAACGAATAGTATTTCAAGTCTTCTTACATTACCAGTAGAACTCGTCTACCGAATTCTCGATTATCTTGATGATTGGGAAATTTTATGTTCGACTCGAAATGTTTGCAAACGTCTCGATGCTATTGTGGACACCTACCATCCATATACGGTACAATACTTCTACCCTGAATAATTTTATTTTTATAAGGCTCTAAATATTATTCACATCAAGAGAATAAAAATTTATATATTGTCTTGGTGAAATATTTTCCTAGTCTAATTACATGTTACCAGATTCAATTATATAAACCTAATGATGTCTCGAAAACCACTTGTTCTTTACAATGCGATCAAAAACTTTGATTTATCACTGACAATAATTAAAAGTCATTAAAACCGACATACTAGTTCAAAACAAACTATCACTGAGTCAAGTAGTATTCGCTCGTATGACTATATCTTAAACAAGTAAAAGTGAATTGTACTAAAACTACATCTATGAACCTATTACTGAGCTCGAAATTATGCACACTATGTTTGGATCGATTATCTTCTTATCAATGTTCGTAGAATATTATTTCATCAACGAATTAGAGCAATAAAGGTATAATGTGGTTTGTTTGTGCACAATAGCTCAAACAACAAATGCAATTTAGTATAAGTTCGAGAAAAGCTTAAACAGTATCTCAAGTGTAAGAGCACCAACCACTCTTTTTTATTGTCGAAGAAATTCTGTTTCTAAATATTTTTCCACACCATTTTAATGCACTAAAAGAATATACATATGTCGAGATATTTTCCAGTGTTTCGTTTCTAAAACAAGAAATGTTTGAATATCCATGCATGATATCAAATATTTCTCGCTAAAAAGAATAGCTAGTCTCTATAAGTTCCATTTTCATATTTATTTACGAACGCTGCATGGTAAACACTTTCTCATTACCACACATAGACACTCACTGTACTATTTCTCGATAATATGGACATTGCTTATCAAGGAGCACAATATCTTGCAAATGCTCTCCGAAAACACCAAGTGATATCACTAACTTCTGCATTAATCGCTCATGACCTGTTGAAAACAGACACTCGACACACTCGAACTCGATGGCAACCAAATAGGATCACAGGGAGTACGACATCTTGCCGATAGTCTCATGCAAAACCAAGTAATATCAAAAAATTGTCATTTGATAGTACAGTGCATGTATTTGAAGCAGACACTCACCACACTAAATCTTAATAGTAATAGAATAGGTCGTAATGGAGCAAAATATCTTGCTAATGCTCTCGAAAAAAATCAAGTATTATGACCAACTTATCATTTCATCGTACAATGTGTATATGAAGTAGACACTCACCACATTATACCTCGGTAAAAATGGAATAGATGATCAAGGAACAGAATATATTGCTAACGCTCTTCAACAAAATCAAGTACTATCAACAGTTTATCATTTTAACATTCACTCTGTATGGAAAATAGACACTCACTACACTGGATCTTAGTAGCAATCAAATAGATCTTGAAGGAGTACGGTATCTTGCTAATGGTTTCGAGCAAAACCAAGTAATATATCGTCATGCCATTCTATTATTCACTCTTTTTTTTATAAATAGACACTCAAAACATTGAACCTGAGTGCCAATCAAATCGGTGATCTAGCGGTACGATATCTTGCCAATGTTCTCAAAAACAATCAAGTAAAATTTTGAACTTGCCATTCTATTGTTCACTCTTTTTAAATAGTCACTCATCACATTGAACCTGAGTGCTAATCAAATCAGTAATCTAGCAGCACGGCATCTTGCCAATGCTCTCAAAAAAAATCAAGTTATATCAACAGCTTATCATTTTATCATTTACTCTGTATAGAAAATAGACACTCACTACATTGGATCTTAGTAGCAATCAAATAGATCTTGAAGGAGTACAGTATCTTGCTAATGGTCTCGAGCAAAACCAAGTAATATATCGTCATACCATTCGATTATTCACTCTTTTGTTCTAAATAGACACTCAAAACATTGAACCTGAGTGCCAATCGAATCAATGATCTAGCGGCACGATATCTTGCAAATGCTCTCAAAAACAATCAAGTAAAACTTTGAGCTTTTCATTTTCTCATTCTCTTTCTTTTTCGAGTAGACACAAAAAACACTCATTCTCAGGAGCAATCGAATAAGAGATAGTGGAGCAAGACAGCTTTGGAGAACTTGCGTAAGAAACTCGACGATTTTTCACCGTCGCATTCTATCATTTCCTTTTTTTTTGTTGAAACAGAGATTCACCACACTAGATCTACAGGATAATCCAATAATATTTGATTAAGAAGCACATCATCTTGGTAATGTTCTGCAACAACAACGTGTAATTTTATAGCATGTTCTTTATGACTATCATGACTAATTTTATGCTTCATGTTTTGTTTGTTGTAATTTTATGCAATGAAGGAATACCATGTCTATAAAGAGCGGATTTCTGAAAGTCTGTATATTCATACTAAAACTATATATTAAAATCAATTTCAGAAAAAGATTTAAATAGTGCTTGCTTATAAAGTGTTCTTAATAAATATCATATTTTTCAATTATATGAAACAGTTACATTTCATCTTTTGTTATCTAATGACAGATAACAGTAGTATTCATTTTGAAAAATTTTCTACTAACGATATTATCGTTTTTCTTACGATCAAAACAAGACACAATTGTTGAAAATACTTTTTAGTTTACTCATAGAAGTTGTTTATTTAATAGCAATGGTTATCTGTACTAGTGCAAACAACAAATGATAGCGCAATTTGCATCGTTAACATGAAACAGACATCACATGAGTATCAGCGTCATCACGCATCTACAGTAAAGCGTTCTATGATGAAATTACACGGTAAAAAGAAGATGATACAAATAGTGTATTGAGTCTGTGACCAATGGTTGGATTGAGCAATAACTTCTATATGTGCTAATATGTGCAATAATTGAGAGATAACACGAAATACGAATGCAGTGAAGTCAATAGAAAACAACAAAAAGCAAGAAAATGCAACGTTCAATTGTAGGCAGGACGAAAGCATCGAATATAGATTCACATTACCAAACACTACATTTGTTCACTCGACTGTTACCTTGGCCAGGTTTACAGCCGAAGACTCGATCGAATTCATCAAAATTCGACGTTGAACCATGCACTCTGAAACACATCGAAGACTTTCAATGATCATCATAAATGAGACTAATACAATAAATAATATACCTGAACTGTGATAATGAATGTACATCTTGTAAAATATATGCAAGAGTTAATTCATCTGTGATTTTCGAACACCACATGTAGCCGAAGTTGATAAAGAACAATTGCTCAGGTGAATATTTTTGTAAACCGGGTAATTTTTTTTCTTCTGTTCCTCTTAGTCGAACCCAATCTTGATAGGCCTAACAGAAATATACTCATATAATTGAGACAAAAAAAGAATGAAATCTCACGAAAAAAGCTTCTTTCAATCCACCAATATCCGCAATATTTTCTCCTTGTGCTTGAGAACCGTTCATCTAAATAGAAGTCAAACTTCTCTCATCAATTTTGAATAAATAGAAAAGAAAACCTTTGATTCTGTTCCAGCTAAAGTCACTCTATATTGGTCGTATTGATCGATGATACATTGTTTTCGTTCATTGAATCTATTGATTGTCTCGTTAGTCCACCAAGGAATTCGATTTCCATTTTTATCATATTTTCGTCCGAGATCATCAAAACCATGTGTAATTTCGTGACCAATAATCGTTCCGATGCCTGAAAACCATCTATAAACTAAATAATTTGTCTTGAAAATTATATAACTATTCACCTCCATAATTAAGATATCTATTGTCAAATAAAAAGATCGATCAAACGAACGACAGACTACGAGTATTAACTCACTTAGGTGCATCTTGAGGGTGGATGTGGGGGTGTGGATGTGGGTGTGGGTGTGGGGTGTGGGTGTGGGTTTGGGTGTGGGTGGGTGTGAGTGTGGGTGTGGGTGTATTCTATCTTCTCATCTACACCCACACCCCACCCCACACCCACCCACACCCACACCCACCCACATCCACACCCACACCCCCACACCCACCCACACCAACACCCCACCCACACACCCCATACCGACACCCTTTAAAATGTTCGTCAGATAAAAAAGAGTGAGACTGAATATTAAGTTTTGATCAGATACTCGTTAACGGAACTCTGGAAAATATAGCTGATAATTCCCTCGACTGAAAGGAGGGTCATATGAAAAAAAATAGTTTGTATGTATGTTTATGTCAGGGTCAAAAAAAACTTCCGCTTCTGCATAAAACTTGACCGAAGGGTAATCGAAGGTGGGGAACTCGAATTTGAGGTTAGTTTTCACTAATTATTAACTAATTATCAATTAATTATCAATTATTAATATTTTGTATAAAACTTGATCAAAGGGTAATCGAGGGTAGGGAATTCGAATCTGAGGTTAGTTTTAATTAATTATTAATTAATAATATTGCCTATAAAACTTGACCAATGGGTAATCGAGTGTGGGGAGTTCGAATCTGAGGTTAGTTTTAATTAATTACTAATTAATTGTTAACTGACTATTCATTAATTCCCTCGACTGTAGGGAGGGTCATATGAAATAAAATAGGTTGTGTGTGTGTTTGTGTCGGGGTCAAAAGAACATCAGGTCAAAAAAGACACCCATTAATATTGTAGAGGGCCTTTTCTCCCTTATTGTAAGGATAACACATAGTTATGTTCGGGCTGATCAGAGGGTTATCGAGGACGCTCTATCGATTGATCGGTATACGTAGGGGTCCCGGTCCATTCCTGCACCCGAAAACCGCAAGTCACAAAAAACATTTGGGGTCAAAGGTTAAAAAAACATCTGTTGATATTTGAGGAGACCTTTTTTCCTCATTGTAAGGACAACACACAGGCATGTTCGGGCCGATCATAGGGTTATCGAGGATGCTCTGTCAATTGAGGGAATATGTGGAGGACCCCAACCGTCACTCCATTGAGATATATGGGGGTACCCTTGGGTTCTCATAGACTACTACATGGGGTGCCCTTGGGTCCTCATAGGCTACTATGTGGGGGTACCCTTGGGTCCGGATAGGCTACTATATGGGGGTACCCTTAGTCCTAAAGTCCTGTTATATGGGGGCGCCCTTGGGTCTTCATAGGCTACTATATGGGGGCACCCTTGGGTCCTCAAGTCCTGTTATATGGGGGCACCCTTAGGTCCTCAGGTCCTGTTATATGGAGGTACCCTTGGGTCCTCAAATTCTGTTATATGGGAATGGCGTTGGGTCCTGATAGGCTATCATATGGGGCTACCCTTGGCTCCTCAAGTACAGTCGAGGGTTTAGCTAGTCGAAGCGACGAGCGTTACTTGTAATTTTATTTATACGAAATTCATGACTTTGTATTAAAGGTAAAAAATTAAAACATCTTAATTGATTTATTTTCCTTAGAAAATTTATTCAATGAAATCTAGGTGTCTCACATAGACATAT